TTGAACTATTTCTAAAAAAATAAGAAAACAACTAAATGTGGAGAGAGAGAGAGAGAGAGGAAAATAGAGATAAAAACTGGTAAACAGAGAAAAAGACAGACACTCATATTATAGACATTCAGTAAACATTAATGATTATCCTGGTTTTTATTGGTAAGATTGATAAGATGGCTTAGGTCACAGTGGTTCTCAACCTTCTGGCCCTTTAAATACAGTTCCTCATGTTGTGACCCAACCATAAAATTATTTTCGTTGCTACTTCATAACTGTAATGTTGCTACTGTTATGAATCGTGATGTAAATATCTGATATGCAGGATGGTCTTAGGCGACCCCTGTGAAAGGGTCGTTCTACCGCCAAAGGGGTCGCGACCCACAGGTTGAGAACCGATGGCTTAGGATATTGAAAAGTTCCTGGTGTTGTAGAGGGGGAATCTTTTTTTAACAAAGTACCTTTTTGTAGAGGGGGAAAATTTTTAACAGTACAATGAGAAGAAAGGAGTGAAAGAATTTGGACTATGAGTAAATAAAAGGTGACAACAGTGAAACAATGCTGTGGTTCTAAGGAGAGAGAGACAATTAAAAGAGGGCAAAGACTTCCCAAATGCATTTCCAAATTGCAGCTGAGAAATAGAAGCTCAGAGACAAGAGTGAAGAATTTTAGTAAAAAATAATAAAGGAAAACAAGGGATATCATACAGTCGTATTATTTTCAGCCACTCTCAAAATGAACTGTGACAGGCTTTCATTTGGATTTGCCCATTTAGGACCATGCACAGTTTTGCAGACCACATTTCTGTTTTTTCCCTGCTAGTCCTTTTACTTGACATTTATATGAACTGGCTTCAGAATCTATATCAAATGGCATTCTCCCAGGTTTTTCACATGAAACCCATAGAAGAAATGCATATATGAATATATTTTACCTACTTTGTAAATGTAAGCATTCCTTCAACTGATGCATGTCTACATTTTCTCATTTCTCTAATGTCCATGTTTGGGTTTCATTCCGTCAGGAAATATGAGAAAGTATCTTGCATTTTTTCAGCAATGTAGTGAGTGGCAGTTAAATGATTAAAAACTGATTTCCAAAATGCTTGTTGAGTGTTGATGACAAAATGAAGTCCTCTATAGATAGCTTAAAATTGTCTAGCTTGGGTTGGTGGTGGCAGGGAGACATATATGAACATATAGATGGAATATGTATTAGCCCTAAAATTTTGGGGCGAGAGAGTTTCAGAAGATATTGAAAAAAATAATTAGAAGTTGCAAAAGAACCTGTGTGTGCAGCTCTATGGCCAATAGGTGGAAACTGACTCACATGTAGATGTACTGTGGTTAATAATTTTCCACATTTTGGTAAGATTGGTAAGCTCATTGTCAGCTAGATAAGAATGTAAGGGTGGGGAGAGATAGTTTTCACTTTGTAGCGTGGCTGCCAAATGCTGGGAAACTAGAATCTGTTGTCGCCAAAGGATACAGCAATCATGTGGAACAAAATGTCAGAACTTACCTAGGAATACCTACATCTGTTAGACTTCCTGGCTGATGTCTGGGCTTATTGGGGAGACTTTGATTATGTCCACTCAGATCTCCAAGATTGCTCTCCCTCTTGAATACTAGGGGACAGGTTCTGCTGGGGAGGTCCTCATGCAGTGTCGGTAGTCCAGTAACTCCTTCCTTTTCCCTAAGAGTAACTGATTACTTTGCCCCTCTGTGGCTCCACAGAGAATACTTTGCCCCTCTGTGGCTTCTTGAGAATATTATTCTAATAAGGTGGTCAGAAAAAGCCAAGAGTCATATGATTTCACTCATATGTAGGATATAAAAATGAAACTCATGGACACAAACAACAATATGGTGATTACCAAAGGGAAGAGGGTAGAGGTTAGTAAAGGGTAAAGGAGGAAAACTATATGATGACCGAAGATGATTTGACTTTGGGAAGTGGGCACACAATGCAATATACAGATCATGTATCATAGAAATGTACACTTGAAACTTATATGACCCTATTAACCAAGATCACCTCAATAAATTTAATTTAAAAAATGAAAGGTTCATTAGATATTTATTGAGCATCTACTCTGTGCCAGACATTATTCCAGTAGCTGGGATGCAACATTAAACAAAATAGGGAAAACCCTTTGCTCTCTTGGCACTTACATTATTTTGGGAATCAAACATCCTCAATAGATCTTTGTACTTGTTATTCTGGTGACCATGTTAGGCGTATCTCATAGAGGATGATGATTGAAGTGCCTCCTTTATTCACCAGAAAGCCTAGTACCCTGACTAAGCTTAGCTCCCCCAGTCTCCGTGCTGTTTGGCATGGGTCATGTTCTTCTTTGGGTGGCTTATATTGTATGTGAACATAATATTGTAAGCCTGTCTGGCCTGTCTGGCCTATCTGTCTCTGTCTTCCACCATGTCCTTTCTCTCCCTCCCCAGTGCTTTAATTTAAGCCATCATTGACTCTCACTTGGACTACTGCATTGTCTTCTAACCCATCTCTGCTTCTACCCTTTCCTTACCCTACCCCACCCCATCCAAGTCTTACCACAGCAACTGGAGTAGTAGTTTTAAAATGCAAATGTGATGGTATTACTCCCAGACTTATTTTACAAATCAAACTAAAAATGAAAAATGAAACATCACAAAGAACCCCCAGGCTTTGGCCTTTATCCTCCTCCCTGTCTTATTTCTTAGAACTCACTGCTGGCACCCTATGACTCAGTCATTTTGAGCTACTTGCTCTTCTGTAAACATTCTGTATTCTTTCACACCTGCATGTCTTTGGCCCTATTGGTGCAATTCTAAAGTCTAGAATACCATTTTTACCCTCTCTGTCTAACTAGCTCCAATTCATCATTTTTATGACTTTATTGAGATACAATCACAGAGCAAACAATTCACTCATTTAAAATGTACAATTCAATGGTTTTTCGTTCAGCCACAGAGTTGTGCAACAATAGCCACTATTTAATGTCAGAACATCTTTATCCCCCTAAAAGAAACTGCACCTATTAGCAGACACTCTCTATTTCCCCCCAGTTCCTCCTTCCCCCACCCATCCTAGCCAGCCCCTGGCAACCATTAATCTACTTTCTTTCTCTATAAATTTGTGTATTCCAGAGTAATTTTCAAGACTTTTTCTGGTGTTGCCTCCTCTTGTTTGCCTCCCAGTTCCCTGATTTCAAAGTCTCTCCACTGGGCTCCAATAATACCCCTTACATGGCTTTGTCATAACATTTAGCCTGCTATATTCTTTCCTGTGTCCACACAGGAAATGACTTACTCATCTCTGAAACCCCAACGTATAGTGCTTGGCCTGGCTTAGAGAAAGTACCCTGTAACCACTGGCTAAATGAATGAATTATTTCCAGGAATCTCAGACAGGGAGAAAGGTCTCTCAGTGAGTGGGTGAGAGATGAGTGAATACACAGGCAAAGCCAGATAGTGGATGTCTAAGTCCCTACTTTTCAGCCCACTTGCACTTGGACAGATGCAGCAACCACCACACTGATGTCTATTTCCTTTCTATAGTTGGTATTCAGGTTGCAGAATCTAGGGAAGCATTACCATAAGTGGTGCAGAGGAAGTATATCCTTAGGAACTGTTTATAATACAACAGTTTATGCTTTACCTGTGGGACTAATAGCAACACTCTCAGGGCATTGTCCTGCTTAACTTGTTGGATTTTTTAATTTTCTCTCTTCTCTCTCTCTCTCTCTCTCTCTCTCTCTCTCTCTCTCTCTCTCTCTCTCCCCCTCTGTCTCTCCCTCCCTCCCTTCCCCCATTCCTGCCTTCCCTTCTTCTTTCTTTCTCTCCTCCTCCATCCCTCTTATTCCACCCTCACACCATTGGAATATTTGCCTTTATATTTGTAAAGCACATTTCAGAGTATCTCTGATTAATAACATAGTACTTAAATTTTTTTTTTTAAAAAAAACATACCTTAGCATGAGCTATCTGAATAGGAATCCACTTTGAAAGCTGTTTAATTGTTCTACTCAATGCACTACATTTCTTTTTACTTGATTGGATATTTGAAAAGCTTATTAGCAAAGGAATAAAAAACAATTGCAAACAAAATGGAATATGAACATTTTAAATACTAAATAATCTCAGTTTTAGCATTTTATTGACTAGAGACAGATTGGGGTGCACTCTGACTTTGGCCACCATTGTCTGCCTTTCTCTATTTCTGTCTCTATTTCAAATTCCCCATTCTTCTCTTCTCCAAATCTCTACCCTATTTCCCCTCTCCTCCATTCCTTATCTCTTTCTCCCACTCTTTTTTATTCTTTCCTCCACCCATTTTGCTGTATGAGCCTTTTTTATGCTTCATTCTGTGTTTCTCCTCCACTTTTTAATTCTTCTTCCTGACTAGTCCCTTTTTCTCTTTCTTTCCTTTTGTTCTTTTTGCTCAGGATGAGGTAGGGAAGAGACAGTGTGTGGGGAGGGGAGAGGGTAGGTTGAGCAGGAAAAGAGAGAGTGGAGGGAGATTGACAATGGGGCTGTCCTGAACCCACCACATCATCTGCTACCAAAAGGGATGTGCCCTGGTTCGAACCACCCAAATTTCCTCTCCTTTAAGCTAAGGCACAAAATTCCTTTGTGACTCACTTTTTTATCACTTACAAAATTGAAGCAAAATAATATGTTTCCAGACTACCTCACAGAAATGTTGTTAGGGTCAAACTTGGTAATGAATATGAAAAAGGTTTGAAAAGAACCAGACCCTGTAATTGGAAGCACTCAAGGGAAAGGGTGGGAGGATTGCTGCCTTGCACTGCTCAGGGATCTGATTAACGTGAGGACTGCACTTCTTGTCTTTCTGAGGAATGTGTTTCTTTTCACCTTTGTCCTACTCATCAAATAACTTGTTTGTGTGTATGCCTTGTTTGAATGTCCTTAGTGTCTGCAGAGGGGAAGGATAACGTGTTCCTTTGTATGCTGTTGATTTTTATCCATTCCTTTTCTCTTGCCTTGGGCTAGCAAATGGAACCTCCAGCAGCCAGCTCTCTACCCCCAAGTCTAAGCAGTCTCCCATCTCTACACCTACCAGTCCTGGCAGCCTCCGGAAGCACAAGGTATTATGTCTCTTATACCTTACTAAACCCCTTTACACTTGGACTTTTTTGATTGGCTTGGTTACAGTTTTCTCTTCCATCAGCTTCAATAGCACATCAAGGCTAGAATTTCTTTCATCTGGTCTATTAGTGTGAAGCCCTGGGAATCAGCAGGGGCTAAGCTTCCATTCACTTTTATATATTCCTCTGACCCCTGGTTTATTTACTCCTGATTACATTTACCCAAAAGGTAGGGTCCCAAATATGCATTCTGAGCTAGTGGTGTCACCAAATAATTGACTCAGGGGATGGGATGAGCACTTGTCTGTCCAATTCAGAGGCATGGTGAAGAAGGCCTTAAAGGCCACTTATGTCTCATAGGCACCAGTCAATAGAAGTGACATAAATATAGCACTCAAAGAAAGTTAGCACTAAGTTAGTTCCTTTGGATTTTCCAGACATCAAAATATGAACAGATCCTAGTTTCACTATGTATTTGCAGACAGATTCTGATGCAGCATAGGAAGAGAGGGCACATGTATACTGCATTGGTCCTAGGCATCATGTGCACTTCTAAGTCATCTCAAATAAATATACCATTAAAATAATAGAAGTGTATAGATTCTCTAGCTCCACTTTTAAAATAGATTCATATCCAGAAATCTCTTCTGTATAGAAAATCTGGAGTGGTTACTGCCTTGTACCTCATCTCTGAGATGTTATAAATGTGGTTTCTGCTCTGATTACCACATTCTAGAGCAGTGTCCTCTAGGATTCTCTTGTATTTTGCCTGTTCACAAGACTCAGTGTGAGATGGGAAAGGCAAAATTCACCAATATGGCCAAAACCGGTTTGGCTCAGTGGATAGAGCATCGGCCTGCGGACTGAAGGGTCCCAGGTTCGATTCCGGTCAAGGGCATGTACTTGGGTTGCGGGCACATCCCCAGTGGGAGATGTGCAGGAGGCAGCTGATCGATGTTTCTCTCTCATCGATGTTTCTAACTCTCTATCTCTCTCCCTTCCTCTCTGTAAAAAATCAATAAAATATATTAAAAAAAAAATTCACCAATATGGCCAACTGCTTCAAAGAACCATAGATGGTCAAAGCTGGAGATCTTAGATGGAAATAAACTAGTTTCATTTGATTCTCTCTGTGATCTTCTGAGGTTAATATTTTACTACTACAGAGGAGGAAATTGCAACTTAACAAGGTTAAGTTATTTAGTACAGTAACATAACTAGGTTGTAGCAGACAGAGGACTGGTACCCAGATTATTGCCAGTAATATGGCTGGAGTCAGTTTGTACAAGGTTATTCGACCTGACTGTACATTGCTTCCCAACTCTGTTCTCAGTGACATTGTGTTGGTAACTAGAACACAGCTGTCGTAGGAAGATTTACACCATGTAAATCAGCAAAGACTACAAATCAAGGTTGTTTTGTTCCTACATAAAGTCAGTGGTTAAAGATTTAACAGTACACCACTACCTGACATCCATTTTCATTTCCTTTTCTCTGCATTTGGGTTTTAATTTCCTGGTTAATCTGACCATTACCTGCTCCATCATTCCTAATGTCTGTTGTATTCCTTGAGTGACCCTTTTAACCTATGGTATTGACCCTGACCAGAACCTTCTAATTGTCCTGCTGAACTATTTGGTTTCCCCAAAGGAGGAGATGCTGAACTGTCTATGTAGCCAACATTACCCAGAGATTGTGAGGTGAATGAAAATTAATTTTGCAGTGAGCTTTCAGTTATTCTTTTTAACAGCAAAGCTTATTTAATGTGGACATTCCAAGATGGGGAGTAGCCTAATTCTACTTTTCCACTCTCCACACAGAACCTCCTATATGCTACATTACTTATTACTATATATTTGCCCTATGCATTTCTGCCCTTACATTTTCTCTGAGAAGTGTGACCTATCCCAGCACCTTATATTAGTACCTACCCCGAATAGCTGGGAAAAGCATGGGAATATATTTGGTCTGCACTCGTGAGTCATTCAGCTTTTCATTTGACATGTTCAGTTCATTTAGGCTGAAGATCTATTATTCATAAGCCCATTGATGTGAGTGACGGCATTGTTAAACCATTTCTCCTGGTTGGGTTTGGAGGCTTGCTTATTTATTTATTTAGCAGTCAATTCTAAATCTAATTTAACTACTGAAAGACTAGAACAAGATATAGGTGGCAATATTGTCAGACCTCCACTGTTTTCTTAACTGTGGAATATTCAGTGTATCATTTTATTTTTAAAATAACTCTTTTAATGACAGTTAAGCAAACAAACATTAAGTACTGAATTATATAATTTTTAGAGCAAACTTTTAAAAAATTATATTTTGGTTTAATTCTAAGTCATTTTTGAGCTTTTTACTTTGATATCCTTTCATATTTACAGAAGTTGCAAAATAATAAAGAACTTCTGTATAGTCTTTACATAGATTGACCAGTTGTTTACATTTTGCCCCATTGACTTTATTTTTTGTGTTCTCTCTCTCTCTCTTTCTCTCTCTCTCTCTACACACACACACACACACACACACACACACACACACACACTTTACTATTTTTTTTAGCCATCAAAATCAGGAAATTTGCTCTGCTGTGATACTATCATCTACAGTCCATATTCGAATTTTATCAATTGTCCTAGTAACATTATTTTTCTGGCCAGGATCCAATTCAGGATGACACAGTGCCTTCAGTTTTCATGTATCTTTAGTATTCTTTAATCTAGTACTGTTCTTGAGTCTTTTTAAAATCTTTTAGGACACTGTATTGTACAAATGAAGAGTACAGGCCCATTATGTTGGGGAATGTTTTTTAAATTTAGGTTTGTCTATTGTTTTCTTGTTATTAAATTCAGATTATGCATTGGGGGCAGAAGCATCATAGAAGTAATTCTGTGCCTCTCTTGGTGCATCCTATCAGGAATCAATGATGGAAAGTGAACTGGTTTTCCTAAATAAGATAAAAAGTGTCTTGTGACCTTGGCTCAGCCCCCCTGGGGCTCTAGTCTCAACTTAATGCCCCTCCTTTCACACAGCTACCTGAACCTTAGCACCATTAAGGTCCTTGGGCAGTGGACCTAAGCAGATCTCATCTGAATGTCCATCCAAGTGGACCTGAAAGGTGTGAGTCATGGTGGAGACAGGAAGCAGGTGGCTAAGGCCATGACTTTCCTCCTGCGCAATTGGAAAGAAACTTGAAGTCCCAGCATCCCTTTGGTAATTTTTGATGGCTGTGGCAGGGCCCAAAGCTGTAATCAGCCTCTTGGCTTCCCCTCTTAAGCAGCTCATGGAGAATCCTCTTTTTAATGCAGCTGTGATGGGGTTAGCCAAAGTCCGCATACTCAAGTGCTACAATATGGACACAAAGTAAATCCTTTTATAGTTAATGAGAACAACATTTTGCATTTCTATACTGCTTAATCTTTTTGCATAGCCATTTTCTCATTTACCTTTGTGATAACCCTGTGAAAACGATAGGGCAGGTAGCATTTCCATTTTATAGGTGATAAAAAGGAAGGGCTGAGGTTAAAGACAGCCCTAGTATGATTCAACAATTGGGAGAAGGTAACATATTAAAGATGTACAAAAAGCTTAGAAACATAGGGAACATTTTTCATTTATTTTTATGTTTTTCCAGATTAGTGATTGTACTCATGGCTTTACATTTGGAGGCATTTTGCTTGCAAAGTTGTCTCAAGAGTGGAGGAAAATATATTTGACATATTATCTGAAAATGTAACTAATATTACCTAAATATACATTTTTTTCTCTGCGTTTCCAGACTTTTTTTGTCATCCTGTAAGTGCTTGGAGGGATAGTTGGATGAATAAAGCAGGATCCTGACCCTTAAATCACAGATACCGCTCTAAGTGTATTTTGGTAGTATAATCAAGAGCAAACAAAAGGACTACAGGAAAACAAAAGAGGATGGGAGACAAGGAAGGCTTTACAGACTAAGTGACATTTAAGTGGGCCCTTGAAGCCTGGGTAGGCTTTTGATTACTGATGAAGAGAACAGGGAGTTTCAGCTTTAAAAAGTTTACTCACATGTGGAATTTAATAAACAAACTGAACTACCAAGAAAATGGAGACAGACTCATAGATGGAGAGCAGGCAGACAGCACTGGTGGGGCAGCCAAGGGGGGGAGAAGGGGGAGGGTAGATTGAGCAAAAAAGAAAAAAAGAGAGAACTCATGGACAACAGTGTGGTGATTGAAGGGGGTAGTGGTGAGGGAGGTGGAAGAGGGCAGAGAGGGGATAAATAGTGATGGAAAAAATAAAATAAAATTTTAAAAATCAGCAAAAACAAAGCCAAACCATAAGAAAAATGCAGAGCACATTTGGGGAAAAGCAAACCCAAACTAGAAGCCAGGTTTCTCAAAACTCCTCTTTGACGTTCCTTGGACTATAAGCTTCTTGGATCAGAGACCAAGATTTTGTTTCCTCTAATGCAAAAATATCGCCAGCACAGCTGTATTTGTTACAAACATTTTGTTCTGTAGGGCTCCAAGGGACTAAGCAAATGAATTTCAGGTGCAAATTATTTGTATTGTTAAGCAATATGTGTATTTCTGTATTTTTACATATCAATCAACAAAAACAGAATATTGAGATAATTCTTTTTCCTGAACATTGTTTTACTCATACAAGGTAATATATTTTGAATATTAAATAAATTGATGGAGGACAGAAGTTCATACTTAGGCCTAGTCATATGGATTATTTCCATAGCCTGTATCTAACTGTACCCATTCCAAGACAGAGCAGCTGCTAGTGGAGTCTCCTCAGGTTTCTACCCTGAGGCCTGTTCCCCTGTCCTCTGAGATAAGAGTCTGGAACAATCTTCTCATAATTATTTCCACTAACCAACCAGCTACATTGAAGGATCTGTTACATGAACAATTAAGAGCAGGGGTGAATGCTGAAGCCCAGTGGTTCAGAGTGGTGGGACTCGATGATGGTGGTCTCCATAATGAAAAGGCCCTTTTATACTGCTTAAAAAA